TGGTCAAATGACCTTTTTGTCGTGAAATTTCGAGATATTTGAAAGCAAAACATGCCAGAAAAATTATAGCTTGCCATTCCACTTTTAATTCCAAATTCCATTTGTTTATAACTAGGTGTGTTCAGCACCAAATAAAAATCTCTAACCAAAATGCATCCCTCCCACCAATTTTTTTCCCGTAACTCATGTATATCTCAAAGAAATCTAAGTCTTGATATGAGATTTTTCTCACCTTTATTTCCCTTGTCAAATGCATGACAAGTTTTTTTTTTTAATGATCAATCACGCATCAGGTAGCATTTTCTTTCCCGCACAACGTTTGGTGTCAAAAATGTCTTAATTCGCCAATGTTTTGGTTTATGTAGTAGTTTTTCCATATCATTTTCTTGTCACACTTCTAATAACATTGCAACAATAAGTACATAAAACAGAGAGAGGAAAGTTAACTTTAATGTCTGATAGCAAAACAGATTAAAGGAATGTTGAATATCATCATTTCAAAGTCTTTACTGAGTAGACCTAGCTTTTGAACTTTGATACAGAATTTTAACCTTTTTATTCTCTGCAAAATAGTTTCCGTCTTTTTGAAAACTTCTTTCAGAAATCATTACGAGCTTATAATAAGTCATTTTCCATTAAATTATATCCTGAATGTTTACTTTTTTAGCATTATGACATTGAATAAAGGATCAACTCTGAAGGCATCCGTCGAATATATAAAGAAAATGAAGAAAGAGAAAGATATTCTTGAAGCTAATAACAGAAACTTGGAATCTAAATATAAGAAAGTGGTAGTGAAATTGTTAACAAGAGTATGTGTAAGTATACTTCGCCCGGTTGTATTATAATGCAGCTATGATTTAGACATGGCAAAAATATAGCAAAATTGTTTTGCATTTCGACTGGTTTTATATGAATTTATTTTATCTTAGCAATTAGAAGTAAAGATGAAATTCAACGAAATAAAAGAAGACGTTGATGGTATGAAAGCAAAGAACAAGCTACATAAAGAAAAAACATGTGCGTTTGAATCAATGGTAAAAGAAATGAGAAAAAACAATACTCCAGCTAAGTCAGATGAACAGTCATCCGCAGCTACTCAGAATTCGAAGTCACATGTACACTCACCAGTAATAGGTTGCACTTCAACTAAATGTACTCCAAAGACATCTGTATTTCAAGACTTTCAATGCAAAACAGGGTTACGTGGTAACCCAGAAAACAGAGGAATAATTCAAATCTCGGAGAAAAGTGTTCTATCAAGTTTGGAAAGAAGTGTTAAGACCAGGTATCCTTTAGAGAGAAATGACATTCCACAGTGTCCAAAACCTTTCAAGGGCACCGAAAATAAGAAAATACGTATTATGACCAGCAAACACGCTAAAAAGTCAACCAGTGAAATTACAGACATTGACTTTCTTGATCTGACCCATGATGACTTTCATATAAAGAAATACGATAGTTCAAATGCTTTATTTCCAAAAGACAAAGCCTTAATTGTAAATGAGGAAGACGCTTGTTCATCTACTTCTGGTTCCGTATTCTTGAAGCAAAAACAAAAGGAAAGGTCAGCAGGTAAAATTTATGTGACCGCCGATATCCTTGGAACTTTGTTACGAAGGTAAAATGGGGTCATATTCTCTTCCGAGATACATTTTTTATAAACTTCCACTGGAAGAATTTATTGATCTATGAAATAAATTTCCAGTGCATGTAAATCATGTTTGCCAGAGCTTCAAATTTTAGAATATTCCATTGAAATATTTTAGCTCAATATTAACATTAATAAATTTTCAGTCAAATGGTATTATACTGTTTATGTATTATAATCATTTACCAAATCATGACAAGGAACAAACTGAGGTTGTGTCATTCTGTCGGTCCAAACCTGTGATTGTTCGGTTTTCTTCATCCGAAGTGAAAACATCTATAATGAGACTAAAGGAGAACTTGTAAAACGGCGTCCGCTTTACAGGCGATGTCACGAGGAAACATTTAATCTTAATAAAGCAAATCCGTGAAAATGAGGAAATAGAATCGGCATGGTATTTTAATACAAGTGCCTATGGAAAAACGAAGGATGGTCTTCAACTAAAATTTGAACTTTTTGACGACATTGCACAGTGCGTCAGTTATGGGTAACATGTACGTAGTAAAGAAACAAAACTAAAAACTGCCAATGTGAAGAAGACATTTGTTTAATGTCCGAAACATAAACAGAAAGTAAAAAGTGGTGTATGAATAAATGGAGTTAAAGCATAAAAGCAATTTGGATTATTTTATATGATATCTCTGATCTGAGTAAGTCCATGTGTAAAAACTCCCTAAATTATAAGAATTTAAGTATTACTACTTAAAACAGAATGATACTGATGTTGAAAGTTGAGATTTTAAAATGTTATTTCTAAAATTGGCGTTTTATTTAAGGTTAGTTTTTTGATAATGACAGAGATCGGCAGATAGTAAAAATTTGATTTGTGTCCGAAAAGAACCATTCATACCCGAAAGAGAATAACAAATCAGAGGAAGAAAAATGACAGTCAAGTGTCTGGTGATGGTAACATCGAATATAAAGAGTGTTTGTTGCTCGTTGGCACCAAATATCTTGTACACATTCAGAAAAGAGTGGGGGGGGGGCGTTTTGATTCAAATGCTTTATAAGTATTTTAAACAAGTATATCAATGTTAGTAAATTAAAGAATTGAGCCTAGAAGATAAAGACTTTATTTTAAGAAATTGGGATGAGCTTCCCCACTTTTTTCAACCATATAATTTTACTATTGTAAATGCCATTGAACGTCCGCCCCATTTTTTGGCCTGCAAATACGTCAAAAAAGGGTAATGTATGAGTATGAGTAATAAATGGTACTGAAAGAACTTTGAAACCTACCCACAAAATAGTATTTTTAAGTTTGGAGAAATTATTTTTTGGTGGTGGGGTGAATTGTTTGTTTGGTTTGGTCAGATTGTTGTCAAGTTCTTATCGGGTAAATTGAATTGTTTTTCTCCGCCCCCCCCCCCCCCCACACACACACACTTTCAAAAACGGTGCTAAGTAAATTGAATTTATTTCTAATGTTTAGTGTTGTATCTCTATCACATCTGCACTAATTGACTTGTATCTAAAAGTAGCTGCAGAACTGTAGCTCTCCGAAAAAAAATATTTCGACAGATCGGAGAGCTACAGTTCTGCAGCTAATCTAAAATCAGCCCCATGATCTTCGCTATTCAAATGCAATTGAAATTATTTTTAATGTTTCATGATGTATCTCTAACAAATCAGCTCTCGCTGACTTGAATCTGAAAGTATGAAAATGTTCCTCTACTTCCTGTGAGATCTTTCGGATTAAAACGTTCAACTCCCATGAGTACTTTCAGTACTTTGATCTAAAATATTGCTTTGAAGAGAGTAGTTTTATCTCAGAAAAATGGTATTGGAAATTTATATCAAGCTTAGACCTTTAACATGACATGTAAACCTATATTTGGTAGTTAAGGAAGGTCCCAACTTAAACGGATCTGGTTTAAATTATTACATATCTTTTTATGTTTACTTTCGATTGTTGAGCATAAGGAATTTGATATACTGGTATATTAATGCGGAAATTAATACTTTGCCATCTGCAAGTCTGATTAACTCAATCTAGGTCATTATATGCTGACACAAAGACACCCAATTCTTAGTTGCCTTTATGCTAAAAAGGAATTGTATTTATCTAATACAAATTTACTTGAGATGTATAATTCATTTCAAGAGTGCATCATTCTTTGTATATTTTCACAATTTGCCAAGAATTTTTGTACAACTTGATATTATTAAAATGGGGGTAGACTTATCCAAAAGACAGCTTTGTAAAATTTGTATGATCAATCATGATAAAACATGTATTTTATCAATTATGTAACTTATATATAATCCTTTCCAATAAAAATTGCATAATATAAACATTTGAGAGCTTTTATAATTAAGAAAAATTTATAAGGGATTTTGTGATGCAGACTCAACATCAATCTGTTGATTTATGCGTAATTCCCATATAAAATACTCTACGCTAAATTTTGGCTGTTGAATTTGAGGGGTATGTACTCTGAAACAGGTTGTAATGTATGACAATAAGCAAGTAAAGGCATGTCTTTTATGGGCTTTTTGGTTGGATTATAAGTTACTTGAGAACTACCTTAAACAACCTTAAACAATGCTTTTTATACGATTAGTTACATATGCATACTAGTTCAGATAAGTTGATGGGCAATGGACATACTTGTGTGTAACTGACAATGGATTGGTCAATGTACATCAACTTTGAATGATGAAATTAATTAAATATAAATATAAATATATTTAAAAAGGAAAATTAATATTATATTTAAAATATTTTGACTTTTGGTTAAACAGTGATAGATAAAAACCATTAACATGATAAGGTTGTTTTTTTTTAAATTTCGACCAAAAATACCCGAAGAACAAACACAGGTGCTCGTGGACAGAATTGCACCTATACCCCCACCTTACCTTATCCCTTTCAATATTAAAAAAAGTTGGGTTTTTCTTAATTTATAATATCTGACAACTTTATCTATATATTTCTATTTGAAAATCACATAAATATATCGATCATATGCAATTTCTATTCACATTCGTTTTCCGTATGTTTATCAGGAAACTTTTTGTGAAAACATATTGGAGGGTAGGGACAATCCTATCCACGAGCACCTACGAGAACGAACAAAAGAATCCCATCCCATGTTATAAGAAGAATAAGAATAATGCAAAATAAAATTCAAGCTTAATGAAAGGTTTTTTTATTACTCATTGTATTTATTTCATCTTATCTCACGCTAAAGTTCACCATTTCTTTCTTTTATAATGTACCTCATTTAAATGTCTCCGCCCATTTTAATGTAATTTAAAAAAAACGCACTCTGTTCGAAAGAAAATGTTCCGGAATAAGTAAGTGCGGTAGGTGTTGAAAATTGGTGTATTTCTTGATTTTCAAAGTTTTCAATAGTGATGGTGCAATATTTTAATTCGAAATACTGTGTTATATACCATGAAAATAAAAAAAATGCCGTATCCTCATGTATGTTAAGCAAAATAAGGGCGAAAAAAGGGACCACGTTACTATACTTAAGTGGAAAACTCCTTTCGCAGATTCTTAAATACAGTCACCTTTAAATTACATTACCTGAAAATGAATGCATTTTGTGCTTCGAACCATGAAAATTGTAAGGCTGGAAAGACTTTAAGTCAAATGTATATGTGATCCCCAATATTTTTTTTCTATGAGACAACCGATTGTGCCCCATTATTAACAGACCTATTTTTGAATTCATATGAAGCAGAAATTCATAAACATTTTCATGTGAGGAGTAGAAAACACGTGCACTTTCTGTGTCCTTAAACTCGACATTGCTATATAGCACGACGTATTGTTAATTTACAATAGTTATTTCCATTCTTATGTCGACACGCTTTATATTCCGTTGATCTTAAAATTAAAGATATCACAGAGACTGACACATATGTTTCATATTTGAATATTCACTAAAATAAAAGACATAACTGGTTATCTGGTTATCTAACAAGCAAGTTTTAAGATAAGCGTAATGACTTAAACTCCCCTGTATACTCAAATTTAGAATAAAGAAGAAGTTGAAATTCATATAAAAATTAATTTTTTAGTACTTTATCATTTCATTAATTAATATTTCAAACAATACCCTCAAAAGGATTTTCTGAAGTCTTTACTACAATGATTACGAAGTATACATATCTCAGTTTCTGTGGGCATTATACTTTAAGCAGTTCTAAAGTACAGTATCATGAGTTCAATAACATAATTGTAAATGCTTGTTTTTAAAAGTCTACCTCTTTTAAAAAACTCAAAGAGATCAAATAAAGCGTTGGAACGTTTTTTGTGTGTAATAGTACGACAGTAAAGTGAACCGTAAGGGTGTTTTCTTTTTTCTCTACTGTATGATGCACATCCTAAAGGGCATTGGCTTACCTTTAACGAGAAAAATATGCTGCATATCAATTTTAAGAGTTATTTCGAAAAGTAGGTTAAAATGTTTTAACATTTCAGGGTCACAATTGCAAGTTCGTTAAGTATGTTTTTTTTTTCAAAAGCTATAATGCAAAGCACAATATGAAAAACTGAAATCTCATTGAGTTACCTCTTATATGAGGTAGTTTATATGAGATAAAACGGTTGATAAAAAGAAAAACGAATAGAATCTATCCAAGCAGATCTAGACGCACAGATGCCGGGTTTAATTAACGATTCCGACAAATCGCTTTCTTCCAACATTCTTTAGTCGCCGGCAAATTTTTACCCAGAAATAAATCTGATAAAGAGTATCATTTCTTAGAATGACATATCAATTAAACATTTTATTCCACGGTTCTTTTCTAATATAATTAGATTTTGACTCAAAATCTCATCTAAGGATTAACTTATTTTATTACGGATACGATGATATTTTTTTTTCAAACAAAATGCAATTTGTTCATTTGTGATGACTTATTTAACAGAGCCTGTTAAAATGCCTTCATGAAGACTTATTTTTACGAAAAAAAATTCTGATATGAAAGAAGGCAAAATTTGAAAAATAGGATGAAAAAATTGTATCTGGTTTTATTAATTCCCCGGGAGTTTAGGTTGATCTAATTGGGTTTCCAAAGTAAGCATCAAACAAAAGTATTTTTATTGCATTTCTGGCATTCAACAGTGAAGCTTGTGAATTTTGTAATGATAAATTAAAATATAAAATCTATTAATTATGTGA